ATATAAGGGGGGAAGAGAAAGGGGCAAACTAATCCCCGCTGTTGGATGAGTTACGTTTTGGTAATCATAAAACTCTAGGGAAGAACAGCTTTTCAATTATTACTCCATTGTTGCACAATCCATAAGCATCTTTATTATCAAAAAGTATAATCTTTAGTAGTGTTCACTTGTCACGTTTTCTTTCCAAATTTGTTATTTATAGTGATTTTCCATGATAAGCGAGGCGGTTCCATTTACTCTATGTTATCACTGTTGGAGACGAATGGTGGAAAGATTGTCTACATGATTCATCTTATTCCATATAAGTTTGTCATCCTCGAATTTTAAAAACACAGTTGAAATCTGTGATCCAAATTCGTACAAGAAAATGACCTCATACTGTTTTGACAAGTGGGTACGAGGGTGATATGATGGGGTCATCATAATACTGTGATATGCATTAGATAATGCATTAATATGATTATTTTCTCCAGACAGAACTTTATTGTATGTATTTAATAAGTTGAGACATTATGCTATTCTCCTGGTACTAAGCTCAGGAGTAAGTACATGTTTTGTTCTGTAATTTGCTAAGTGAACTACAATATCATGAGTTCATGTTTTATGTTTTATCAAACTACCATTAACAATTTCAATAGTTATGCTAGAATAGCTTATTTGCAAGTATATCAAGACGGGATTAGGAAGAGGAATCTAATTTTGGATATGTCTTCTTTTTAATTTACCCTCATCAACTATTAAGGGCCTGCATCTTTGTAAAGTTTGTGAACCATCAGCTTTTCATGAAACCCGCTCACAAGAAAAATTTCTGGCAACGAAGTTTTGGAAGATAATTGTTGAAAGGTCCTTGCCACTTCACTTTCTTTACAATAACATTCTCATATCATCTTTCATCAAGTTATATGTTGTATGATTTTTTGGATGTATCTTATAGCGCACAATAAATCACCAGTGATTGGACTTTTTGGTGATGATCAGTGTTGTATATGCTAGTTTGAAGGTACTTTACAAAGATTTTTTTTTTTTTTTTCACTTGTGAAATTAACTGTCAGTGTATACTTGATTATAGTTCAGGCACATTTATTAGTGCATCAGAAGATGATAGCGGAGTCCTGGATATTATTGAGGAAAAGATTGCCAGGGCTACCATGTTACCAAGAGCCCATGGCGAGGTATTTTTTTAATGATGTATTCTTCGGGGCATAAGTGTGAATTGAAATTTCAAAGCCATTAGCAGATAGTTTTCATTGTCCATTTAGGTTTTAAATGCTACAATTAGCAGTTTTTATATAAAACCATTTATTTTCTTTTCGCACAGAGAAAATAGTGCATCTAATACTGTTTCTAGTTTCACAAATTTTTTATAATGTTAACCTTTCATTACAGGAAAATTCTAAATTAATCTGTAATGCGGCGATATCATCATATTGCAGGCATTCAACGTTTTGCGGTATGAGATTGGCCAGAAGTATGATTCACATTATGATGCATTCAATCCAACGGAATATGGTCAACAGAAAAGCCAAAGAGTACACACTTAACTAGCATTTCCTTCATACAATACTTGCTGCAAATGTTTAGGGTTCTGATCTGTGTTATCATTTTCTACCCTGTTTTTTACTGGGAATTTCTTCCTGCCAATTAGAAGATCCCTGATATTTGATATGATAGTTTGCCTGTTTATGCACCTAATAATGACCCCCACCAGCCAAAGAAATATCCATATGTGAAAAAAGAACTTAGTGATTTTTCATCAGAATTGTGAACCGGACAATAATCTATATAGTGGTATTTGGATAAGCAATATTCATGGACTTACTTGAACATTATGTCAAGTTCACAACATGAATTTTCATTTGTATGAACAGTAACCTTTTTACTTCTGAAGAAATCAGTTGCGTTTGTCAACTTATGGTTTTTTTTATATTCCGTCTTCAAAGGATAGATATTAGATGATATTTCTATTAGTTTTTTTTTCTTGATAAGCAATATTCATGGACTTGAACATTATGTCAAGTTCACAACATGAATTTTTATTTGTATGAACAGTAACCTTTTTACTTCTGAAGAAATCAGTTGCGTTTGTCAACTTATGGTCTTTTTATATTCCGTCGTCGAAGGATAGATACTAGATGATATTTCTATTAGTTCTTTTTTCTTGTTATTTCATTTGAGTACATTTGTTGCTTCAAAAGTATTGGGGGAAGCACCTTGAACTGACATCCAAAATATTGAACATTTTATCATCTTTCTGTACTTGATTTGAGTAACTTGAAGGATGGCTGCAATTTCAGTTCTCTTTTCTTCAGCCCTTTAAAAAGAACAACTTAGAAAACTTGTAGCATCATCCAGTATTCTGATCACTAAGGCACCTAGCCTTCCATCATTCTATGACGGTGAAATTGCCATTTTATTTGAGCCTTGCCTTTCACAATCTCTGCCCTTATACTTACGAGAATTTGTTATAGACCCTTCTCTCGTAACCTGTACATCAGGCTAAAGTTATATGTGAAACAAATATATGATTATAGTTCAAGCAGAATTTGCAAATTGTTTTTTGAGTTCATGCCTTCATCTTTCTGTCAATGTTTTATCGCTTTTGCTTCTTTCTTGAACCATTGATACTTAACTGTCACAACATCACACTCAATTTTGCAGTTTGCTTCCTTCTTGTTGTATCTATCCGATGTAGAAGAAGGTGGAGAAACCATGTTCCCTTATGAGGTAGGTTAGCAAATTTATGATATATCTTGTATTTCTTTCAAATGTAAGTAGTATATATTGCATGTACTCATCCTATTGTCTAATTTGCAGAATGGTGCAGAGATGGATTCGAGCTATGATTACAAGAAATGCATTGGTTTAAAAATTATGCCCAGGCAAGGGGATGGTCTTTTATTTTATTCAGTGTTTCCAAACGGCACAATTGATCTGGTAATTTACTTTATCTTATCTTAAATGAAATTTCCAATGCTTATACAATTGATCTTCGTCGCATACATATTATCTGAGGGAGGTGGCAGTAATTAGATATAAATGATCAACAACTGATTAGGGCTTGAAAATTGTATGGGCATTTGGTTTTCTTTTATCACTTGTTACTGACTTACTGGTGATTAAACAAAGACTCTGTGGTGGTGCGTTCTCTCATCTTAAAATTATATGCAAATTGCAGACATCTCTTCACGGAAGCTGCCCGGTGATCAAAGGGGAAAAGTGGGTTGCAACAAAGTGGATTAGAAACCAAGAAGGTATGGACTGAGAGTTGTTTCGGGAACTGGTGGTTGCAACTGTCCATAGCGTAGTCAATGCGGAACAGTGAACGGTGTTCTTGCCGTAGGCAGCACTAGGATTGCTCTTGGATGTACAGGCTGATGATCGAGTGCTGCTTAACTTGAAAACATGGCACTTGGGTGTTTTTTTTGGTCAATAACAATGGCATTTGTTATAGAAGTATGTTTCTGCAGCTTTGGAGCTAAATAATGAAAAACCTAAATGTAAAATTACTATCTACAAAAAGCCAGCAGAAAAGCACTGCTTAATTAATGTTATTTCATGTCTACCCTTACCTCTTTCTTCCTTCCTTCTTTTCCTGCGCACAACAGCTATGAGGGTGAAAAGACCAAATTAGAATGAGGATGGTCTTTTACTGGTGAGTCATGACCAAAACTTGCACCGATTCGGGGGGCAATTCGTGAATTTTACTAACAATACATGATTATATTTCATTCAACCATTTTTATTCAGACATGCCATTCTTTATCTTAAGCAGCTCTATGCATCAAAAAGAAGGAAAAAGATCAAGTAATGAAAAGCACTTTGATTTGATTTTCAATTCAACAACCTTAGATTGTTTGTTTGAATTCGAATTTAGGGGAATTCAATTTCATCATACTATCGCTTTTATTGTTCAAGTATGCATAATCTAGGATTTAACACTGCCTAATTACGAGCTACGCGCAGGTACACTTGCTAGTGTACTCTAAATCGTGAGTTGTTCGTGATTCGAAATTTTGATATAGTGAAACCATATCAATGAGATTGCCAAGGATTTCAATCACAGTTAAAACATTTAAAAAATAGATATAGCTCCAACAAATAACTATTTAACCCACTAATGTTATCATTCTACTCAAGGCCGTCTCTGAGATTTTGGGAGCCCTGTGCGAAATTTATAAAAGCGCCCTTCCTTAAGATAAGTCTTAAAAAATGTAGAACAATGCATTGACGCTAGAAAACAATCACTTAAATCAAAACAAAGTTTAGCACTAACTGATTGCAAGTTTAAAAATGTCATTAATAATAAGTAAAAATAGCTACAAACATAACATTCACTAAATAATCAAAAGCAGTTCAATCTTAAACAACCAAAGAAGAAAACGAACTTCAAAAACTCTAACTTTAAGTTTCACTTGAATATGTAACATTATTATATAATAATATTGAAAAAAAATACCGTCTTTTATGGTGTATTATTGACACTCAAAATATCTTATTGTACTCTAAATTTTTGTATTTAGAAAGAAAAAAAATTACTCTTATAAGAAGTGTAAGATAAGATTTTAACGTGCTAACAAAATCAATTGTTGAATATAGAACATTATTTCATAACAAAAGCAATTTTAAATATAGAATATTATTACATATAAATATTAGATGACAAAAATTTTGGAGGCCCTTCAAATTTGGGGCCCTGTGCGACTGCACATTTCACATCCCCTCAACGCCCCCCTCTGGTTCTACTGAAACTATATATGTCGCTCAAAAATAATAAAATCATTCAAATTTTTTTCTGCTGCTACAGTGTCTTAAGAATCAAATGTTGAAAACCGATGTACACTCCATCATCCATACATTCAAATTTCATGCAATTAACCAAAAACAAAATTGTGATTAAATGTGTGATTCCTCCACATCCAACCACGCAAATACAAATAAATAACAGATTAAGGTAAGCTGATATTAAAAGGACCGTTGGAGTTGGGGGCCAAAAGACACGCCCTGTAGACTGTAACGGCTACTTCCCATTTCGAAACAATAAACTCCTCCTCTTCGCAAATCCCAAAACCAAAATCTTCACATCCATTTCTAATCGCCAAACAAAAACGCCAAAAAATATCTTACTCAATCTTCTCCCCAATCTCATAATTTTCTGCTCAAATTCTCGTCGGTTTCGACTCCGATTCTTGATCCCTGTTCGTCCCAGAGATCATTGGCCATGGACCTCGGCTGCTTGGACTTGGGTTGCATCTCCGTGTCTGACAAGCACCGCGCTAACGACGCCGTTCTTGACTCAGACAACACAGAAAACGCCGCCGCCGAGCAGTTCTCCGCCAGCCCCAGGATCGGCAAGGTATAATTCTTCCGACTTCACCGTTCGGATTCAAGACTCCGTTACTGTCTTAGGTTTGCTCCATTTTCTTGGATCCGATTGTTTCTGTCCACCGAATTCGCCATTTGTGTTTGGAACTGAATTTTTTTTTGGATTTGAAACCCTAGAATCTTTAGCATGTAAGACTTGTGTTCGGCTTTGATTTGGGACTTTAATTGCTGGTTATCTAGAACCCTAAACGCTAAACCCTTGTGGGTTTTTTCTTCATTGTTGGGATTGAAGCCAATTGAATTTAAAAGCCCTAGAAATTGCTGTTTGTTTGAATTCTAGTGAATTCAAAATTTGACCCCAACTAGTATTATTTTTTATTAATGTCTGAGATTCTGAGTGTGTGCGCGCTATCTACCTTCGTTGTTTTTTTTCCTCAGTGAAAACAAATAAATTATCCATTTCTGGTTATATTTACTTGGGTTTTTTTGGCCAAATATTTACATAGTTTGGCTATTTACTCCTTGTTTGGTGTCTCGGATTGGTATGGCCTAGGATCACTCGCTAAATTCACTAAATCTTTAATGAAGAAACGGGTGCCCACTTGCATACTTTGTCGAGGTGAAGGTAGAAGATGGATTGGCCGTGAAGAAAATTCTCCATCATAATCCTACCTTTTTGGTGGGGATTGGGTGGGACAAGATTTCTTCATGGCTAATCCATCTTCCACCTTCACTCGGAGAAGATGTGCAAGTTGGCATTCTTTTTTCATTCAACATTCATTAAATCGAATGTCCTATCGAAGCCATTCCTAGTCACCAGCGAGGCATTCTGTTTTAGCCTTATTTTTATTTTTATTTTTATTCAAATATCTTTACGTTCATTTGCTTAGTTTCACTTCGCTTTCACTTGATAAGATATCTTTATCATTACAATCATACCATGGATGTTGTTAAGAAAAAGGTAAATTTTTCTTTGGCAGAAGAGATGAAGTTATTTTTTCATGCAGTAAAATCCTTGTAGGCTCTACCCTAATCTACATTTTGTGATGCTGAACATGCTTTTTTGTTTATTTAACTTGACATATGAATATGTTGGCCTTGCTGGATGGTGTTTGTGTTCTATGTTTGGATGTTCTTATGTGTTTATTTAGAGTCCAAATAGTGATTTTTTTATGAAGTCCTATTGTTTCCGTTTTGTTTCGTTTTACATCCTCCTTTTCTTCATTGTTTGAATAGTGCAGAATAGAAATTTGAAAGAGGCTAGCCTATCAACGCTGAATTCTGTTAACAAATCCGCTGCTCAAATTAAGAAGCCTTCTCATCGTAGAACCTCTCCTCTGAACTGGTTTCCGCGGAAAAAAATGGACTCCTATCTTAAGAGGAAGATCAAAATGCTGCAGGTTTCGCTTCTCTTTCTCTCTTTAACAGACATCCGCATTTTATCTGGATTAATTTCCATGTTAATCAAAATAGTGAATCATTGGCTTCTCGCAGGAAGTAGATGGGATGAATTTAACTCTCGATGAGACTCTAGGTGATTCTAATCCACATTACTCGAAAGTCCTAAGGGAGAAAATGGCAGCAAAAGAAGCTGCACAAAAAGCAATGGAGGTACGAAAAGCAGCATTGGTGGAAGCATCTTGGTGTCGAATACTCAAAGCAGCAAGGTGATTGTTGGGTGCATTGTAGACATGAATATTTGAACTTTAAGAGGTAGTTTTGTACTTACAACTTTTTGTATTTTCATTTCAGGATCCAATGCAAAGAAGCTGAAGCCCAGCTGTTGAAAGCAGATAAAGCTGCAGCTGAAGCTTTTGAAGAGGCAACTGCCGTGGGAGTTATCATGTATGACAAGCCAAATTGCCCTCGGAAGCCCTGTAAAATAGAAACATCCACTGTTAATGGCGGAGGTTCGACTACTCACACGGTCACAGCATCTTTTGAGTCTGCATTTGAGGTGGATAAAGAAGTAGCTGCAGCTGTAAAGATTGCATTAGTACGGCTTGGAAACTGCCCATCTTTTGATAAAGATGAATTTAAAGAACTGCTTCGAAAGATTAGCGAGAACCCTGATACTGATATAGTTGAACTTGAAACTAATCATGAATCATCTGAGTTTACTTCAGAATGTGAATCAGAATCTGGATCAGAACTTGACGCATTATCCCAGAAAGATAATATCATTTCCAAAGATTTGAATCAGAACGAGATGCCAGATTTAGAGGCAAGACAGAGGAAAAACAGAAGGCAGTCTTTTGGTAAGCTTAATATGGCAAAGATAGCAGACATGATGCTCGAGAGACTTCAATGTTTGCAAGAAGATGAACTCTCTTCTCTTGCCACTATAGTTGCTACTTGTGGTTTAAATGCTGCCTTAGCGGAAAGCAAGCTGCACGATCCCGGCTCTGCTGCTGAGACCCTGCCACAAAGAATAACAGCGGCGAAGCCTGAGTACTTCAGAGATGGGCAGATCCGAAAGAAGCAACCTGTATCAGAACTCCCAAGTCTAGACAAGTTTTTGGTTAAGCACGTGACTAAGCTTGAAAGAGAAGTGGAAGAAGCCAAGAATAGAAGTAAGTCGAAGGAAGGAACTGCAGAGAATTCTAACAGAACTGCAGACAAAAAGGCCAATTCAGAAACCATTCCAGGCTTGGGAAGCATCCTTCTGAAGCATGGTTCAAAGTTTGAGAAGGAGATTGAAGAGGCGAAGAAAAATTCAAGAGGAGATTTTGAAATGCTTCAAAAGAATTCAAAGAGCAACAAAATATCATCTGAAGCCATTCCTGACTTGGCAATTACACTAATTAAACATTCTTCGAAGCTTGAAAAGCAAGTTGAGGCAGCCAAGAAGAACTTTGTGAAAACATCTGCAATGAGTCACAAAAAAGAGAATGACTTAGAACTCCCCAGCCTCGATAAGTTCTTAGTGAAACATGTCTCAAGACTTGAGAAGGAAGTCCAAGAAGCAAACAACAGAAGGCAAGCTGACACACATGAAGGAGTTAGGTTCCCTTATTTGAAGAAGAAAGTTGAATCATCTACTTCGGTTGCACAACCAAAAGAAAAGGCTACTTCTTGTTCCAGGGAAGGATCAGTGGGGAAAGAAAATATCAACTTAAATAATGATGTCGAAGAGAATTCTATGATGGAGCAAAATGAAAGTGAAGCTTCACTGCAGATTGGAGAAGTGAAGCCTAGTGCAGGTGAAACAAAGTCACTTCACAAGGCCGAAACTAAGGAGACTGAAGATAGTCTGGACAAGATCCTTCTCAAACCAATGCATAGGTTGGAAAGGGAGAAAATGCAAGCTTTGGAAATGGAAGACAATTATAAATTCGAAAAGAAAAAGGGAGGAAACAGCGATTCCCAATGTGAGAGCTTGGACAAAGTTTTGGTAAAACATGTTTCCAGACTGGAGAAAGAGAAGATAAAGTTCCGTGCAGAGGAAGAAGCAACTGAAGTGAAGAGAAGTAACGCAAAGCTGCTGTCACGTGCAGACGAAGCATGTGGTTTGGACCAAATTCTCATTAAACACAAATCAAGGCTCGAAAGAGAAAAGGACTTCGCTGCTCAGCAACCAGAAGACCAAGTTAGATACTCCGTCAGTCGTAAAGAAGCAATGGAGAGAGAACTGCAAGAACAATGGGGAGGTTTAAGCTTAGGAAACTCCCTGAGACCAAGAGAGAAGGCGGCTGCTGCTCAGCAACCAGAAGACCAAATTAAATTCTCTGTGGCTCGTAAAGAAGCAAGGGACCGAGAACTGCAAGAACAATGGGGTGGCTTAAGCTTAGGAAACTCCATGAGGCCACATGTTTCAAAACTAGAACGTGATAAGGTAAATTCTCCATTTCTTGTACTTACTGTGTTGTTTGCAATGCAACACTTTGTTCCTGCAAAAAGAGTCTGATTGTTTCGTGGGTATTTCCATTTCTGTGTAGGCCGCTTGGATCAAAGCTGAACAGGAGGAGAAGAGGCAAGACACGGTTTTCTCAGATTAAAGCCGGCGATTAGAAAAGGAGGGAAGATCTGAAGGAGATACTAGTAAATGCAATGTGAAATTTGTGAACCACGGTTCTCTTTATTTTCTGTTCAGTAATTTTCTTATGGCTTTCGCTATTTTGTATTGTAACAGGAGAATGAAATTTGTCTATGTAAATGGTAAATCATTTGGTTAGTTCTTTGATTTTGGTAGATTGGAGTTGGATCCCCAAATTAAACCAACAGAATCAAGTTTCATCCAAACACTGATCATCCAATCTACGGTTGGATTTCATCTAAACACCGATCAACATTGGTTCCAATTGAGTTTTAGAAAGTAAGTAATCTCGAAACTACTGACATTGCCATAACTGATTGTCGATGACGCATGAACCATGATCTAGTTTTGAAGGAGCAAGGAAAGAACCATTGGCAACAAAATGGACTGTAGAATCAACATTTTTAATCTTTACTGATCATGATTTGTACACGATACAGTTGAATTACAAAAGATGTTAAAGAAACACAGAGAGAGTCATTACGGATGCTACCAAATGATCGACCAACAAACGGAATTCTGTTAGATTACTATCATTGTATTGCTCAAGTCACTAGACCCTCTCAAGCTCAGTGTTGTGCTTGTCCAATTGGTCTTTGAGCTCCTTTTTCCACCCTTGGATCAACCTTTCATGCTTCTTAATAATCTCAGCCTTTATCCTCAACTCCTCTTCCATTGCATCAATCTCCTGCAAAAATGAAAATGCACGTACATTAAAGAAACAATGATCGGTAGTCTAACGACAAGCTAAACAACACAGTCTGTAGATGACCTTTCTTAGTTGCTCAGCCTTCGTTGGCTGATCCTCACGTTGCAGACCGATGAAGTACAGTTGAAGCTTTTTGGCAGCTTCCATAAAGTCTCTGGCATGCCTCTCCACATCAACTGGAGTGGCAAAATAAACACCATTAGAAGAAATGCAAAACAGAACGGTAATAACCTTGGTGCACCATCATTTAGTGTGCAAGTCAGGATTAGAAAAGACGCTTCAACTTCATTCACTAATTTAGACAGAGTGACAGTCATAAGGTTCGATAAAATGGATGAATAACAAACTCTCCTTGTACATTTGACTACTTGCACCTCAAACATCAGGTCATGTCAACCTGGTTACAAAAGTAAAATTAAAGATCCATGGATTTTGTAGCCAATGAAAAAATGACTTTTTTCAGGTGGGTACACATGATTTACCGAAAATCATAACGAATAATTCTGAAACAACACAATATCAGATTAAAGGAACAGAAAGTTTCATCAAGAGAAGGATCTCAAGTATAGACAGTATTCTTGAACCTTATTTTTCCATCATAAGATACGCACAGCAGACAGAATTGAAGCTCTTGTGGTACTCATGAATGAATTTTACTACCCGGTACAATTATATAATGTCCTCTTCAACTTCGTTCTTCCTCCATTGCTATTTACAACTAAAAAGAAAACGCTGACACTTGGTTATCTGAGATTTGATCTCAACCATGGTTCTTAAATCGTAAATTTGAATACACTACCTATCTTTCTCTTCCAATCACCCAACTCCTCTGTTGCAATATAACTTATGCCAAAGCTGATGCAAATAACTCCAAACCCGAGTGTGTTTAACCAGTTTAATGTTAATATTAATATATACAATATTCTCCCCTAGGGCCAACAAAACGCATACAATGTTATCTGATTCGGACCTAAGACACCCCCATCAAGCTGATCAATGTAAAAGTGAGCTAAAACATTCAATCGAAACGAATATGAATGCACCCAAAAAGATACATTTGATCAACACAGCTTGAAAAAACTCTCAGAAGACACGTAGAGCTAGGGATTGGTACTAACTCTGATGAGAGGGGAGGGGAGAGCGGTCAATCGCTTGAAGCTCCTTAGCAGGCAAGCATGGAAGCAAAGCAGCCTCCAGCGACATTACACACGAAACCATGTCTTCCCTCGGAGCCGTTGGAGATTGCATCTGTGCATCACTTTGCTGCTGCTGATCTACCGCTTGTCTCTCAGCCATGTCAAAAAACAAAAAACCGAAAAAATAGCCAATACCTGCAAAATACCCCCAAACCAAAACATAAAGAATGAAGGAAATTGAAGCTTGAATTATATATGAAAATGCACTGATAAAAATAAAATAAAATAAAAAACCCAGAAAAAAAAAAAATTAAATGCCAAACAATTTGAGCATCTGGGTCGAATCAAACCAGCATGAAATTTCAATCTGTAGCTAAAAGTGTGTGGCTTTTCCGAATCAATTAATCGTACAACTACGCTATAGTGAACTGTATCACCATAAAATAAATTCAAAAACTTCAGGAAAAAAAAAAACCCCCAAATGCGTATTCTCAATTAAAATTTCAGACAAATTGTTCGAAATTTGGTGTTACCTGTATATTTGGGTGAGACTGAAAGCTTCAAGCAGAACTTGATACGACGAAACAGTCTCTGTAGCTGAAAATTTTCATCTTCTACCCTTTTTTGGGCCAAAACCCTAATTACAGATTCAGCAGGACCAGCCCAAAGAGAGAGAAATCAAAAGGCGAAAAGGCCCCATCACACCAACACTACAACCATAAAGGTGTTTCGTTAAAACTTTCTAAACTAAAAGCACAAACTACGAGAGCCGAACATTAAAATTTTCTAGTTTAAAAGAAATATCACTAGATTATAATGTTAATAACTAGTCATGTTTCACTTCTATTTATTTTTTTTCATTTGAATTTTACTTTAGTTACACAATGTGGCCCAATTTGGTGATATTGTCAAATTTTTCGGTACGCTTCAATCATTTACTACACCTAACGTGATCATTTGCCCTCTAATTTGGTAGTACTAAAGCTGAGGAGTGACATAATTGGATGACCAAAAAAGGAAAACATGGTAGTAGAGAGAAGATATCACATTGATGATTCCTGGTTTCGTATATGTTATTTTAAGTGTGTTATTTTCGATAGTATTTGGTTGCCCGTAGGCTTTATGCTGCATTTTTTTTATGTGTGTCGATTCTTTGGGGTTAGATTATGAAATTTGATTTAAAAATAACGGTTGGATCTCTCCTAGTAATTTATGTTTTGATACGCAATCAATTTTGTATTTATGGCAGTTCTACAATCCAATTTTACCATGACAATTTCATTAAACCCTTTCTCTCGTAAAGATGACTATATAAAGAGTTGAACGAAAGAAGGTGGTGCACTACACCAGCGAGCATAGTCGAAAGCCCTGCTCCCCTTGGCATTTCTTTAGCTCCTACTTTCTCGAAAGTCGAAATCAAAGTGATGGTGAGATCGTAGAGTTGTCCGGTTCTTATTTTGACAGGCATAGCCGGGAATACTGTTCCCGAAAACAAAACACTGCAAGGCGGATGTTTTCGCGTGTTTCCCTCATCTTTTAAAAAAGTGATCCTAAAAATTGAAGAACTTGCAGATCGGGACTGGTTGTAGATTGTGTTTCATATCATGTGTATTTTACTATTTTGTTACTCTGTTCATGAAGTTGAATTTTGAATGATGAATGGTTATCCTGGACGAGAGCATGCATCTCATAGTCATTGATCATATTGTATTTTGTCAATGCCCCGTTTTCTAGCTCGCCTATGAACGCGTTATGCTTTCGCAATCGTTCACCTATGAGGGACCCGTCGGACCCGCAAAAATAGATGGTTGTGTCGGTTTGTTATGGGTTCACATGCGGCTGAAGCTAGCTCTTGCGGTCCTTGTTGTGAGAGATTTTTCAATGTGTCTGTAATACGGAATGGTACATTTATATTGTGGGACATCATCCTGACTGAATGCACTAATCGGGTTTAGGGCAGTCTTTGAAACCACCCACCTAACCTCATGGTCAGGCAAACTTATTGGAACTTTGCTCAAAACAAGGGACAGTACCAAACCAACAAATAAAGAGGAAATGTCCAACTCTACTCAAGCCTTTGAGTGAAGAGGTGTTTCTGGAAGGATACTAGTCCTTAAAATCATATGCTATTTAAAGACATATTCTAAGTTTGTGACCCTCAAATTATAAAATGAAAATGTTTTATAACTCGACTATCTTTTTCTTTCTTACCCAATTCTCACAGTGGAATTCATTTTTCTAGCCGGTCAAGAGCATATAAAACACGTTGTGTCCATCTTAGACCCTTTCGTCCAAGAAAATGTGCTCATTCTCCTTTAGTTTAATCCCACGATGGAGAAGAAAGTACGACAATTAAATTAAAACCTATTATGAGGATCAAACAGTGGGTGATTACAATTTTCTTAAACCATGAGATCTAACTGGTATCAACATATAGTGTATACACTTGTGACGAGAAAGTTAACATGACGTAAGAAGGGAAATGATTTTTGCACACATTTTTAACCTCTTACACGCCTCTGTTTAATTCTGACCATTGCTTCCGTTTGATATATTCAATCCAATAACTTAAGTAAAAACGTGTGTGAAAGTCACATTTCTGTTTTTGTAAAGAGATTCTTGGTGAGAGAGGTGGAAAAATATCGTAAAATTTGGGTTATGTAGCATTAAAAAATAAGTTACTCAAAAAGGAAAAGGAATATACTTGAAGTATCCATTGAAACTAGTTATTTCTAATTATCTACAAATTACAGTTTCTGCATATGCTTTTACATTTGCGTGTGTTTAATTTTTTTTCTTCATATATATTGAATTGTGCAAAATTGTACTAACTCATTTGAAGTGATTTTACAATTGCTGAAAGTTCTTCGGTTGAAAATGTTTTTAGAATCAATCATTAGTAAAAATACAAATAAATTTAGGGAAAACACTTCAGTGATTTTGGAACAAAAAAAATGCTTCATCTAAAAGCGCTTTCAATCATTGTAAAAACATGATGCAATGGAGTAATTAGATGTGCGGTCAATGATTCAATAGACAAATATTCAACTACACACACCATTGCATACTAGAAAGTCTTCAAACTGTGATTTCAATATAAAACTGATTTTTACACAACCCTTTTAACTTCTCACTTTTCACATAGAATTTTTATTTATCAAATAAAAACAACCAACAAAATTAAATAGAACCTATGTTTGCACACCCTTGTCAATAAGGGTTCTTCCAAGAGAAGATGCGAAGAAGTAAAGCATCTAATCTTTAGAGTCCTTGAACATGGACATGTACAACAATGAGGACCCAGTGCATATAATCGGGTCAGGGACTCGGGCATGCCGAACATGGCAGGACAACATACCAGTTCAAACTCTCCACCCACCCACCCCCACCTTCTCACTGTACCCAGATCTTCAGATGCTGTTTTGTTGTTTTCCCGATCTCCCAGAGTTATGAAAGCAACTTATATAAAACAAATTTTCTATTACGCGACATTTGGTCTAATAATATATTTTTATGTAAAGAAAAACGTATACATGATGATACATTATTCAATAAAAACGTCAAATATCGATAACCTCTGTATCATGTAACTAATCTTCTAAAGTGACACCAACTCAGCTAGGACTTGGTCTCACTCAATTTCCTAGATTCCCGTCATGTGGACCCCACTCAACGCGGCAGGCAAGGCAATCAAGGTTTCCAAACTTTCAAGGGCATCCCATCTTCCCCATTCCACAAGTCACAGACTTTCGCGGTACACAAGTCAGCCATGATCATTGCATGAGTTTCCCACTTGCGTCCAATTGCCCATCACATTTTTGGGAGTTTTTCTACTATGAATCCGCTCATAACATAACATAAATTGCAATTTATGATCGTTGCATTATTAGTCACTTGGTTCTGAACTAAAATTCAATAACTAAGAATTTTGATTATGTTATTATGAGCTGGTTCGTTCTCAAATTTTTACACATTCGAAAAATCTCATGAATTACGAGACCCAAATTAATTTCAATATCCGTTACATAGAAGTTATTTTAAAATCTCTTCAAAAATTACACACAGCATGACTCGAATAACATTTGGTTGCGTAAAAGTCTAACTCGGAACCTCTATGTTCCTAGTCTAAAATTGTAAAAGACTTTAAACAGTAATATAATACTAGTCATAGCGCACACCACAAATCATATTTGACTTTGACTACTTTTGGAACCAAACCCACTTCTTCTTCTTTCTCTTTGTTTTTGTTTCGTTTGCTTGCCTCTCAAAGCTCTTCCCACTTCCTCTGCTTTTTCATTTCTCTCCAATGGCTCCTCTCTCCGTACTACCTTTCTCTCTCACCTTCCTCTTCTTTCTCTCTCCTGCGCTCTCCACAAACTCCGAAGGTACTTCCTCCTCCTACCCATCTCATAATATTCTCCTGCGTTTCAAATTTCCTACCTTTTCCTCCACTGGGTTAATCTCTGTTTGGTTGCTGAGAAACTCTAAGGGGACAGAATCCGGGAAGATTCCCCAAAACCCATGTCAATTTTCACCTTCCAATTTCTGTTCGTGGTATTTTTCTGATTTAATTTTCTTTCAGGAAATGCTTTGCATGCTCTGAGAAGCAGATTCAACGATGTCAACAACGTTCTGCAGAGCTGGGATCCAACGCTGGTCAATCCCTGCACCTGGTTCCACGTTACCTGTGACTCCAACAGCCATGTCATCAGATTGTAAGATTATTAGTTTCTTAATCCTTTTTTCTGGGTTTGTTTAAATTTTGATTTCATGATTTGGGTTTTTTTTTAATTGGCTCGATTAACTTTCTTGTTTTGGATTTCAGGGATTTGGGCAACTCTAACATTTCTGGGAGTTTGGGGCCAGAGCTTGGGCAGCTGAAGCACCTGCAGTACTTGTATGCTTCCTCTTCTCATACCAAGTTTTTTCTTATGCTGTGTTTGGTTGCTCAGAAAATCTAGGAAAGAATTGTAGAAATTTCACTTATTAAACCTGATTAAGTGATTATGGAAAAAAGATTGATCAAATTTTGACTTGATGAACATATTGGAGAAGTCAGAATTGATTGAGTGAATTTTTTTGAATTTCAGGGAACTTTATAGAAATGACATAAGTGGTAAAATCCCAGAGGAGTTGGGGAGCTTGAAAAGCCTTGTTAGCATGGATTTGTATGACAACAGGTTTGAAGGAGAAATCCCGAAATCTTTCGCCAATTTGAAGTCACTCAGATTTCTGTAAGTGCTTTTGGATTGAGTTTCCATAACTTTTCAACATTGACTGTCTTGCACAGATTGTAACTAATTTGTATTGAATATGATTAAATTTATACGCAGGCGGCTTAACAACAACAAACTAACGGGATCTATCCCGAGGAAACTCGTTGGCCTCACTGACCTCAAAGTTTTGTAAGTCCTAATTTTTGGAGAACTGAAACGAAAAATCTGAAGTCTGAGTATAATTTTGTTTCTAAGATGATCTGTTTGGTATATACTGTCTTACTAGCAGTTTTCTTATGAGATTTTATTGTGGCAGTGATGTTTCTAACAACGATCTGTGCGGAACAATTCCAGTTGATGGTCCATTTGGGGCTTTCCCAACGGAAAGGTATCACTTCCGTCACTCTCCTAGCTTTGATCCTCTCAATCATGTGCAGTAGGCACCGGGTTACATAACGAAGTGACCTAACATTGCTTGTTGCTTCCATTTTGCTAACTTACAGAAACCAATCATTGCCTGAAGAAACAAAGTATTTATAAATGAGTTTTGAGTTTCATAGTTGGTTGAATGATAGGTTTAGCCATCTGGGGGAGGCTATTGTTTCAGCTTTCGTCGAACGTGGCCATTGAAAATGTGTTGTGTGTCTAATAAGCATTACGCATTGTAGATGCTCTCTGAGAAAACCAAATATACATTAAAACCATGGCCATCGCATTCAGGTCCAAGATGACATGGTCTTAATGAGTTTGGATAATTTTAATGCCACACGAAAATTATCGCAGTTATATATTTATATCGCTAATCGATAGTTAGTCTTAGAGTGAGTCCGGAGTGTGGTAAGCATGATGATTTGAATGAATACTCATAAACTAAAATCTCGAACTCCACTCAAGATTATTTTACAAAAGTAGTTATATCAGTTCTTTTCAGAAACTAAATTACTCATTGACGAAACTTGCTGGTTCTAACGTGTTTGCATCCTGATGTTCTGTTTCAGTTTTGAAAACAACAGACTTAACGGCCCAGAGCTGAAAGGGCTGGTATCCTACGACTTTGGGTGCTGAAGAAGATGTGGAATTCGCAGATCATCCGTTAAAGAGACAGTTAACATTGTATGATAAAGAAGCAGCATCGTATCTCTAATTATGTTATGTATCTGAAAACAGTACACCCTTAATGTATGGATATGAATGAAAACACAATTGCAAGCAAAAATAAAATGATTGTGAGATTGGAACCATCACTATGATCCCTTGTATTGATTTGTACGAAGCCACAGTATCTCTCTTTGCAGAGTTTCTGTAAAGCAAAGCAGCTGCTGAGGCTATATAATACAAAAACCAATACCTGTATTGTTTAAAAGCGTTTTGGCAAGAGGTTTGTAGTTCAGTTGGTTAAGAATATTCTTTCTTACATTGTAAGTCCGAAGTTCAAATGTTTCTTCCTCAATATCGCCTGTGTTAAGGTAACAAAATCTTGTCCTGATAATTTTCACCCTAAGCAAGAGCTGGATGAGCCACATGGGTTGTGTTCGGATTTACCAATTTATATTCATCTCATGTCGTTGCTAGATCAAAATGCAAAGCGATATAAAATAGTAATATAATAACACAGTAGTTCATATTGTACATAAAGGGTGGTCTAATCATGTATGCATAGGCCTCGCTTAATAGAAATGAATGATTACTGATTAGGATAGGACCATTTCTATTTAACAAACAATTTAAAGAAGAAATGAATGAATTTTTTTTATTTTGTCCAAAATAAAAATTACGAATGAAGTAATGATATCATGACATATGCAAAGTGTATCTCCACATAATATTGAATTATTGAAAGAACGTTAGAGTAATAGTGTTGTTGTGACATATAAAACCCTCCACACGAGACATGTTTTTTACACAAATCTAGAGGCTAAGCAACTAAACTAAGCCCTGGTTTGGTACTGAGGTGCTTTTGAAAAAAAATAGGTATAAAAAAAACTCCCAGCTTTTTTATGTTTGGTAAACATTCAATGTCAGCTTTTTTTCACAGTTTTGGGTGGGAAAAAGGCCAAAAACACAAAGCTGCAAAACTCAGCTTTGAAAAACAGGCTTTTTTTGCTTGCCCAGCTTCTGCCCAAACTAATTTCGCAAGAGGTGCTTAGGCCTTTAATGAAAATTTTCGATACCCAAAATGGCTTTTAGCAATTAAATAAATTATACATTATACCCGTTGACTTCGTCGCCGACCCCGCCACGTCTCTCTTCCGTCCTCTTTAACTCTAAGCTTCTTCGAAGTTCTGGGACAGGAGCGGCAAGAGGTTCGTCGGATTTCTGGGTTTTTTCAAAATTCGGGGCCTCTTCATCTGATTTCTGAGCTTTGTCAAAATCTAGGTTGCACAAAGAATGCTAGATTTGCACCCTTCTTCTTGACACCCAAAATCTCAAAGGGAAAGCGTCAATGATTTCGATGCTATCACGAACGATAAATCCTGAAATCGGAGTTCATCCACCTGCTGCGAATCAGTTGATGCGACCCAGCCTTCCTTTCCCCACGACCTAGCCTTCCTTAGGATCAAGCAGAGAGACACAAAGAGAGAAGAGGGTGAGAAAGAGTGAAGGAATGAGCGGCGGAAGATAGAATGTCACACCCTGATCCCGACAGACATTAAGGATCAACACGTGACGTCACCAAATACCTGTATCTCAACATATCTTGCCTTTGGGATGTGGCAAATCACAACTCGAGAATCGAATTGCATAGTGACCCCCATCGCGGATTAACTAAGCAGGACCACTAGTGATCCCCCATCGCGGATTAACCAAGCAGGGTCAAGATAACCAAGTAGGTAGTGACCCCCCATTGCAGATTAACCAAGTAGAGTCACACCTACATAACTGTTAGGCAGTGATCACCCATCACGGATTAACCAAGCGCGATCCATAAATAATATGGTCCCCCATTGCGGATTAACCAAGCAGGACCATCCATGTACCACTGCTACATGGTGCAGACTCGGTGTCACCTAACCCCGTGACACTAGGTTAACGATCCCCTACTAGCCCTCGCATTTCTCAACATTTCAAAAGTATATTTATAACACAATTCATAAACATTCCGATATGCACTTCAAATCACCTTTTCGCAAAATATTTCCAATCCATGAATCAAATCACATTTAATAAAAATAGATCGATGGCCAATTATAAAATCACATTTTAACAGAAAACACATTTTATAAAACCAAGTTCTATCCACAAAGGATACTAATATAAGAAAACAGGGTAATAACCATATCACATATATTAAAGTCACTCACCAAGATAAATCCGCAAAGCCTCACTGAGTCTCTAGCAATATTAATTTTAGTAATTTAAATGATTCAATACCTATTGACCAAAAGTCAACTTCCGATCAACGGTGGGGTCCACATCCCTACGTAATTTGATCCAGAAGATACACATATCGAATTTTCGATCCGTAATCTTCTAAAATCCACATTATGCCTCTAGAACAACATACTAAAATTTCATCACGATCCGACAGTCGGATTGTCGATTCATATTTTGATCAAGTAATGTACCATTGGTCCCTCACTCTCTTATCTCATTGGTCCCTTTCCCACAAGGTGGGAGTTTCAAAATAAATTTAAAATCTATAATTTAGTAACAACTTCAAATGTCTGTAACTATACCATTAAAACCTGGACTTCCAAACGGCTTCCACCTATGTGCTCGTGGTTTCTAGACATATTCGAAAACGTTACTTGTGACCTCGAAAGGTCAACGAATCTTAAAGATTAATTATGAAAATTCAAGCCCGATAACTATTCGATTTAATTTACAAAATTTACGGAATTAAAATTAAGTAATAAAAATAATGTAAACGTGAAATATGAATTTAAATTACGAGATACATAATGAATAGTGAAATTCCGGGGATGGGATTTCACTTAGAATATACAAAGGTTATGCAAAACTAAAATAGGGATAAGGTAAATGTGACATCCCACATCACCAAGAGGAGTGATCCTTAAATGTATATTCCCATCCTTACCTAGCACGAGGCCTTTTGGGAGCTCACTGGCTGCGGGTTCCGTAGGAACTCCTAAGTTAAGCGAGAAGGATGCTAGAGCAATCCCATGATGGGTGACCCACTGGGAAGTTGCTCGTGAGTTCCCAAAAACAAAACCGTGCGGGAATGGTAAGCCCAAAGCGGACAATATCGTGCTACGGTGGTGGAGCGGGCCCTGGAAGTGATCCGTCCCGGGCCAGGATGTGACAGTAAAGAAGAAACAACTCTTAGAGAAAAGAATAGAATAAAAAAAGTTAAAAGTACATTCTTCAAAGCTCATAACTGTTTATAAATTGTTTATATAAATCTTATAAATGCCATAATAAAAGAAAAGATAAAAAAAATATTATATAATATTCTACATTATATCTTTTTTAGTTATTTTACACAGTTGCAGCGGTTTTACATAAAAATTTATGAAACATTTTAACATTGCTTTTTTTGCTAAAGGCACTCTTACAAAAAAATTTATCAAACACCCTATTAATTTATTTTACACCTATTTATTATCGTAGTACAACAAAAACAATTTTTTTTTCAAAGCATAATAATACCAAACTAATCCTCGGTAACTGAAACAAAAATAAGCAATGGCCAAGGCATCACTGCTAATGCAAAGGCAACGTGTAGAATTGCCACACACTTGGCATGAGCAAATTGGTATACGAAGACATGTGTCGGTGTGCCAGTGGAGCACCTAACTTTCTGGAAATTGATCCAATAACATTTGGGTGTCAAAAAGGAAACAGCGACCTTCAACAAGGTCGGCCATGCAAGTAGGGAATCTTCTCCGGATCTACTTTATAAGGATCTTAAAGATTTTCACATTTTAATCGTTGATCGTAAAATATTTTATCCTTATTTTTCGTTATGTATTATTTGTATTTAATTTTAAATAAAAAAAATTAAATGATTTTTTATCGTACGATACAAGATAAATAACTAAGATGTAAGAATTCTTAAGATCTTTATAATTTGGACCCGGATATCCGGATCCGGCCATGCATGATGTATGTGACTTTCTTTACCCACTTGCTGCGTTTCTGGTAAAATGACAAACTCGCTTTAACGCTGCTCCATGTGTATATCCGCTCTCAAGTTTCTTTTCCTTTTCATTTTTTTAGGGGACTTTTCCATTCCATCTTACGTACTTAAAAAAGATTGTAATCTTTCTCTAGTTATCTTAAAAACACGGTACCTGTTCACTAACTTATTCATTTTAATTGAATTAACTTCTTCATTATCGTCTCTCTCTGTCATTCTTTGTTGACTAAACATCTTGCCCAACTCCCTTATTGCTCGCTTTGCTTCAAGAATTCTCACCGCCTCATCAAAAGCTTCCACCCTCTCGTCCTCCATGTCCACGTCCACCACCTCCACCCATTGGAAGTATCAGATCATTGAGATACAAATAACTAATTGGGAATTTTGGAAGCCAGAGCTAGGAGGGAGTTCGCGAGAAGAATGCATGCTTGGTTTTTTTTCTTTTTTAAATTGAGGAGATAACGAGGAGTTGGCCCCATTTAAGGTGGATAAGTGGGTGAACAACTGTTACGTTTCATGAGTGACCAAAGAGAGGCCATAATATTTTTCGGGTGCAGATAATTTGAACATTTACCTATATGATTTATCATTGACTTAAAATTTACATGATGTGAAAATTATATTTTGTCTTGCAGGGTTTTCGATACTAAAAAAGTGATAATTTAATTTAGAAGTGTTTTTATATTTATTCATAATAAATATCGTAACTATATCTCATATTCAAAACATCGAATCAAGGTTGACTAGAATATTTCTAGTCCATCGTAAATTAAAATTGTTTTTCATAATCAGCTTAATTCAATCACTAAAAATATTACTTAAAAAGTTTAGCTCGCCCCAATGAAAGAACAAGTCTAGTCATATCCACTCTCAAATCTCATAAGCATTTACATATTCTCAAGCAGTTTCTCCAATCACTAAAAGAGTGGAAGAAGTTTGAAAATGAGCGAGAATCACAAAGAGATACACAATGTACATCAACGTAATATTGCACAATGTTCATAAAAATACAAAAAAAATAATAAAAATAAAACTCTAGGTCAGGAAGGCGAGTACAAACTTGATTTATAGAGTCGAGCAAACAGAGTTGAAATTTGAACCCAAATAATTTCTAATATTTAAAACGAACTCCCCAAACTTGCCAACAAATTTGACAAAACGTCACTCTCCCTATATAACTCCCCACACGTCTCTCGTCCCTTTTTGTTAAAACCCCCTCTCACCCTAAAACCCCCACGTCATAGCTTCACGGGCTCCGCGGCCAAAAAAACCACCAACCGCCACCATGACGGCCGCTTTACGCTGGAGCACCAACCTCACCCGCCTGTTACAGAAGAACTCCATCACCGACCCGTTCCGAGCCCCGAAGCTGCTCCAAACCCAAACCCAAACCCACTCCAAAGCCTACCTCCGCTTCCCTCAAGTCTTCCGCAAAGCCAGAGACTACGACCTGTCCCCCTCTGTCTTCTCCTCCGCCTTCTCCTCCGCCAAGTCCTCCGTCGAAGCTCCGTCGGTCTCCAAGCTTGGGTTCGTGGGATGGTACCTGGGTATGATCGAGTCCCGCCCCGTTTTGACCAAGAGTGTCACCGCGGCGCTTATTTACACCGCCGCCGATTTGTCCTCCCAGGTGGGTCCAACTGTAGTTATATCTTCGCTTTTGGGAATTTTGTGGTTACCCATTTCGTCATTTGGCTCTTGTATCTAATGAAGTAATGATCTTTATCAGACATTAGCAAAATCATCCTTTTCAGAATCTTATGATCTTGTAAGGACTGCGCGCATGGCTGGATATGGGATGCTGGTTTTGGGTCCGTCGCTGCATTTCTGGTTCAATTTCATGTCGAAATCTTACCCGAAACGGGATATCTTTTCGACATTGAAGAAAATGGCAATGGGGCAGGTGCTTTTTGGACCTACAATGACGTTTGCTTTCTTCTCCTTGAATGCATGTCTACAAGGTATGCATAAAGCTTCTCTCTTAACGACACAATTTTTATGATGAATGATGCTTTTTATGTTTGATTTTGTCGAAATATTGTATGATGAATGGTGCGTGGTGTGTTAAATTTTGGGTATAATTTTGTTTAGGAAAGTTGAAGCTTCCGGGGTTGAATTAGGTGGAAATTAGACTAATTTGTCAATGATTGTGAACTAGGTTCTTTTAGATTTTATTCGGTGACAAAATCGTGATTGAGCCTCCTACACTTCATAGTAGCAATTTCCTTTGGTAATTGGCTCTCCGGTTCATATACCTGAGTATCACTTTGATGTAGAGTTCATCAGAGGAGGCTGAAACTGAAAGTTATAGTTGACTGTAAAAATGGTCTAGATGTACTGAGTTTCAATCTTGAGATTTTCGACATTTGTAACTTCCGGGATGCAACCCCTGTTTGTAGGCAAGACTTTGATGCATAATGAATGTGTATAAATACCTCTCTATGTTAATTGATTCTTCAAAGAAAACCTTCAGTTGCTGATTAAGAAATTTACCTCTGTGAAGTTTGAAAAATAGAGCGAAATTGTGTCTGCGGAGAGATGCGCGATACTATATGGTGCTTCGTATTAATGTCATATGGTCTAAGTTGTTACCATGATTGCCAATTCCAGGTGAAAACGGTGGAGAAATTGTTGCCCGCCTACAGCGAGACTTGTTCCCTACATTGTTAAATGGCGTTATGTACTGGCCAATATGTGATTTTATCACATTCAGATTCATTCCTGTCCATTTACAGGTACGTGGATGTCTTTCTTTTGTCTTGGCCTTTATCAAATTTTTTTTTTGGATTTTGGATTTTGGATTTACGTGAAATTGAGAATGGCTGGGCTGCCGAGTTCTATTCCTACAAAACACGTCTGGAAACTAACTTGTGAACTTTGTTTTTGATGCTCGCATATTGAACAGCCATTAGTGAGCAATGGATTTTCGTATCTGTGGACCATTTACATCACGTACATGGCAGGCCTGGAGAAAGCAGGCACAGCGTCCTAGCTGATTGACTGTAGGCGCCTATTCTTTTTACTAGTCTCGTCTTCAAGATTTAGACACGTCTCAACAAACCCTGCTTGGAAGTTGCTCGTGATGCCTTACACGGTGAACCTTCTGGATGCCTTTGCCGAAACGCTGGCATGACATCCACAGCCCGACCATGGTTGAAGCGCAGGCCATGAATCTCGCTCTCTTTATGAATTCTAGAATGAGCTACACTATTTACGAATTAGATTCATTGGTAATTACATTTAGATCGTGTTTTCACCATACGTGTAAAACATTCAGACATTATGTATTTATGTTGGGAAACTTTGAGGGTTTTGTATAAAGCAGTAGGTTGTTGAAGACAGTGGAAGTATCAATTACCAGTTAGTTTGATCTGAAACAAACGACTGCAGGTTCAAAACTTCGGTTGGACATTACATTTGTTTTTCTTCAGTTGTGGAAGTGACCGTCTTTCCGCTCTGTTTGCTGATAGTTATGCATGACAAGGATCTAGGGCAAGCAATTAAAGGTTTTCAGAACAGGCCGACAGACATAAGGAAAGGCGTTTTTCCGGTTGGTCTTTGGTGAGTTTCTGATTCTTCATACAACTGGAGCTAAAAGAAACCCAAAACCTGAATACGGCGGTCCTCAGCAGATTTGCTTTCAGGACTGTAAAACTAAAACCATGGGGTTAATGGAATGAGATGGGAAGATATGGAGACTAAGTAATGATAATATTGCCGTTTCCTCTGCTTAACTCGTAATCTACTGCTGATTCCTTTAGAAATTTCTTCAATACTACGCGGCATTGAATGACACGGGAATGATAGTAGCATTGAAGCCACAACCGAATTCTTAAGTTTTTTAGACAAATTTCCCTTCTACAGTCATGTATTCCCCCATATTATCCAACTTTCGTTTAAGACTGTTGCATTTCGAGAGAGAAAACATAACATATAACTTTTATAACCAACACGTGACTTTTTTAGATGGAAAACTAACAAAGAACATTAAGAAAGCAAAAATAACACCTATGACCGGCATGTGACTTTTTTTGACGGAAAATTGGATAAAATGTGATTAAACATGAGCGGAGGGGGGAAATTAACCATATAGTTCAAGGAGGAAACTCGACAAAATACAAATTTAGAAGCAAATCGACAGTGCGATACAAGTTTAGAGAAGAAATTGGAAAAATACTCAATTAATTGTACGAGTTACTTCTACTGTCAACTTGGCTATGACTTTTTTGAAACCAAGAGATGTAATTTTGAAAAGGTGTCCAGATTAAAATCTTTAAACAAAGTATTAGTCACAATTACAACAGTAAAACACCAGCAACGAAATCGCACCCTTCTAAAGATTTCAGCAATACTGGTTAATTAGCGCTTTCTTCAAATTTGAACTGATTTTCGAAGGCCATTGAAAACAGTTGTGCCTATACACAGGACATAAGATTCAGACAGCAGATGGATGCTTACCTGATTTTGTTGTCGAAAAGGTCTTCTGCATAACAAACAAACAGATAACCAGAAGATATTTGCATAGATCAGATTAATCATCATAGATAACAGATATTAATTCCTAAGAATTAAGAAGGGCCTTCGAAGGGAAAGGTCCCGTAATCTGAGTTGGGAAACATGGTTTCTAAGCAACACATTCAAAGAGATGCATGATTTATATATAAGGCAACGAATAATGAGCTCCCAGTGATGATACAGCAATTTAATATGCTTGATATTCAAAACCTCACCTGTTACAAAACACAACGACCTTGCAATCGCTTTTTGATGAGCGTTCCTCGAGAAGAAGAAATTGAAGCAATCCCTCAACCAAAGCAATGCCGATGAAGAGCCTTGCTGAAATGCTGAGAGGAGCAATGACACAAGTTTGACCAAGCAGCAATGGACATAGAAGTAAGAACCATGTAACCTACATGGTTAGATTAATTCAACCTGGTTGAGATCAATGCGATACAAACTCAAGTTGAGACAAATAAAAATACAAGTTAAAATAACGTAAGCAAGAAAAGTAAATTATGTAGTATGTTATTTTTCCAACTGCAATAATTTGAACGCTGAATAACTCATTTTTCTCATAACATGGTAATAATAAACAAGGGAGCAGAAACAATTTCCATTGAAGAATTGTGCAAAAAATTCTTCACACTTTTGATGTCCTGCTTGTATCGAAAAGTTTACATACTATCGTATTAACATGCCCCAACAATTATCAAGCCTACATCTAAACGCAACATCTAAACGCAACCTAAACCCAAAATTTCTCACATAATCTACAACTTATTCCCTATTCCAATGCTTCAAAACTCCGTAAACAGGCAAAGGCTAAAAGTCGATAAGGTTAAAGAATTGACTCTAAACACTGAACTGTGAGTAAATGAGGGTGCAATTTCATGGCTCGCGATCTCATCAATTGCTGATTGTGTATAAGGTTTTGCTCACTCCTCAGATGCACGCAAGACAATCTTCTCGAGCTGTATGGGCCAATCTACACCAAGCATTTGGGGATTTAGCTCCACTGATGAAGAAAAATCTGACATGGTTACATATGTAGATTTTGTTTCTCTTTGCATATATCTCCCAAGCGACATCCCATTTGATCCATTGTTGTACGGATATGGACCACTTGGTTGTTTTAAGTGATCATTGCCATGCCTTGTCCCGGCTAGCCGAATACAAGGTTCCATTAACCTCTTCAGATAAGCATCCAATCCATTATTCAAGAGGTCAGCACAGTCTACAGCGACACTAATACCCTCCTTCTCCAACTTCCGCTCCAAACGACTTCTTAATGATCTGGCATCAGGTAGCTCACCACTGTTTTGACAGGTCAAAGGGTGGTAAGTGCTACATACTGATACATTAGGAAGAGCTTTACGTGATCCACCCAAATATATTCCGAGAGGAGCTGTTACAGGACTTCTACTTTGAATAGCTGGGCTTCCTGCATCCTGTTCGACCTCTTCTCCATCTTCTACAGAGGCAACTTCAACAGGCGGCCTGCTTCCAAGAGAAAGCAATTCAGTAGCACTTTGCTGCTCTTGTGTTTTGGAAAAATGTTGGGACTTTCCATTCGGCCTCAAAGCCCTTGGGCGGTCCTGAAACTTGCGTTCTCGATTAACTGGAGACAGGATCTTGTGAGGGGATGGGGAAAATGCATCTGCATTAATCGAGTGAAGACCATCCTTCTGATAACCATTTGCTACTTTATCATTAAGGCTACTTCCCCTTTTCCGAACACTGGTCAAGGGCGGAACTTTTGCAAGGCAGGCATTCTTGAGGATTGATTTAATAAGCAGGTTATGAAGATAGGCATTTTCCCTCCCAATAATCCGATTGCAAAACTTGTTGAATTCGCACTTACTAATCTTCGAACTAAACAATCTTCTCATCAGATCAAAGTATTTGTCAGCTCTCTGATGCCCAATCTTTTGGATAATTAGAGCTTTCAGCTCCAAAGTGTCAATACGAGAATAGCTCTGATTGGGCACCATTTTTCCCCCACTCCACTTCCCAGAATTCACCAAAACCAGATCCTCATCGAACCCTCGAATTCTCCAGCAAAACCCAGATCACAGAACACATGATCTTCAATCGAAAACCTAAAACCCTAATTTTCAGACAATGCTTTCACCTGTATATTCACCAGAATTACAGCATCAGAAGCAAATTTCCCAATTTCTCAATCAAATTGAACACGGGATATAAAATTTTGCTCAAATTACTAAAATTAGAAAGAAAGAAATCATTGGGAACTAAACGTTGACCATTCAAGAGCTCACAAAAAATTACAAAAAAAAAAAAAAAAAACATTATATAGATCACAATATCTTCCTGAAATTCAAAATGTAGCAAGAAATATTAGCAGAAGCAAAAACGTAAACAAATTTAACAGATTTGAACAACAATTTACATAAATGAAAGAATCCCAGTTGAGATTTTGGTGTGAATTGAAAACCCAACAAGCAAATTGACCAAAGAAGGATGTGAGAGAGAGAGAGAGAGCACCTGAGTCGAAGGTGGGCGAGGTTGGATGGACCCTGTGAGAGTTGTAGTGTGTTTATTGGTGCTTTTGGTTTGTGTTTTCAATTTGGGAGATATTTCTGTTCTTGTTATAACTAGGACAGACCAAACAGGGACTAAAAGTAAAGGGCTTTGTGTGCTTTCCGAACCTTCTTACCTGAAAAACAACGTGCGTTTTTCTGAGTTTGGGAACTCGGATGTGAAGACTTGGTTAGGGGCTGTTTGTTTGCGCTCATTTTTTTTTTTATATGGTAATAAGTCTGTATCTTTCATAAAACTGAAAAATTTCGCTTAGGTTAAACTCATAATAAGCTGCTTTCTTACCGATAAATCGTAGAGAACCCTCAAATACTTCTATTTAATTACCAGGACATGCCACCTAGTATTATGATCTAGTAGTATTTCTTTTCATTTGTCAATAAGAGGTCTTAGGCCACTTAGTACTACAATTTAGTGGTATTCCTCCTCACTTATACGTGAGAGGTCTTAAATTCGATTCTCATCAAATACGAATTTGAACCACATTATCGTTAGCTCATTGTGAGGCTAAGCCCAACTCCTCTTCCTTAGTGTAGATAATATTGCTTGTTTAAAAAAAAAAAAAAAAATCATCAAAACATTGAAGTTTTGATATAAACATTGATTTTATCCGAGCGTAACCCTTAATGCTTATGTCCCAGTATGCTAATCTGCCAATATATAGGTCTGCTGGTACACAGACGATCAATTTCATGGCAAGAAGCAACTAACTCGAATTTAAAGAGAAGCAAGTGTTTATTTATTTATTTTTGGTTTTGTTTGTTGAAAGCAGTTCATTGGTAAAAGGTTCAATACAAAATGATGATCCGAAACAGCAACAAAAACTTAGACATTACATTCAGCAAACAGAACATCAGTGATAATGTCAGGTGGTTCCTCGAACCACGAATAGTTGCTAGAACTAGAAAGAGTGTAGCGAGCAAGAGATGGTGAGCAACTTCGTTATTCTGGTGACGTGTATGGGCAATAGTAGCTTCAGTGATTGTGGACAACTCTTTAAGTTCTACATCAAAATCCATTCCTTCAACCTATAACCAGGATCAAATTTCCACCAACGGAGGCAATGACATATATATCCTGGAAGTCACATTGATTAAAGAGTTTTGTGGATTGATGTCAAGTTTCTTGTCCTTCAAGAAAAAACCATGCTACGTACGTGAACCATCGTCTTGATTCAAGAAGGGTTTCTTCTATCAGCTTTTGTTTTTTATTTACGTGGGGGGAAGACGACACTCATCGTTCTTCAAGTTTGAGGATGTATTACCACTTATTAACCTTCACATCAAAAGGGAAATTTTAAAGTTCAAATTATGATATTTTATCGCAGTTGGCGTAAAAAGTTGTTTCTATATATTGCTTACACTAATTTGACTAACAATTTTCCACGACGGGTTTTTATATTTTGCATCCCGGAATGCCAACATTAATATAAAGTTCAATCTCAAATTCAGTTTCTCTAGAAAATGTTATTAGCGCCCTGTCTTCTGTTAAAGTCTAAACCAAATACAATATGCAACTTGACACATTGTTTTTTTCATTGTATTACACACAGATTGCACTAATTAAATACACATTTTATTGGTTAACGCATCGTTCTTTGACTCATGCAATCGTAAAGCTTCAAAATATATAGAGATTTACAGCTACTCTAATTTCAAGGCTTCTTCTTCGGACCTTAACTTGGAGGACTGTTGTTCTGTATTAACCGATGACAAGTCTGTGAGCAGGCCGACTGCAGCCTCGTCTGCACCTTCTTCATGCAAGTGTGAAACCGCGGAATGGCCATCCGGACGGTGAATGGGAGTCTCAGCAGGTTGTTCTCCATCAAAACGCACCCACTTTCTATCCTTTGCTTGAACTAAAACAAGGTACAACAAAACCCCAAAGATAATTACAGCACCGCTTACAAAGAAAGTCTTCAGAGAAGCCAAGCACATAACAAGAACAAGTAACAATGCAGGGGGCAGGCAAAGCATTGTTGCTCCGAATGTTTCGAAGGGAACTTTGTACGGTCTATGAAGGTCTGGCTTCTTCACTCTCAGTTTAATAAAAGCTGCGAACTCCAGAAGCATTCCTATAGCGTATAAGAAATTAAGAAATTCCAAGATTTCTTGAAAGCTCATCCACGACAAGAAGATAACTCCGGTAGCAGAGCACAAAATGCTAATGGTAGGTGTTCCATACTTTGACCTACAAGGTAAGAGTTAAAGAAAACAATCAACTCAGCGCTCATCCACTGTGCATCCAACTAAATTTGTAAGTAAAAGGTCGTTTTCTTTACAGAAGGATCCTTCAAAACAGGAGGTTGCAATTGTGAAGTTCGAAAACAGCGGATTGGCTAAAACTGAACCGGTAAAAGGAGCGAAAGTGTACGAAAATGCAAACCTTGAAGCAAATATCGCAGGAAGCATTCCCATCTCACTCATCCCAAGAAGTTGAAAAGCGTCACTACTCATTTCTGCTTCAAACAACCCCATGTTAGACATTGCAGCAGCGGTTTGAATCCACCACTTAAGCCAGACGCCACCTATCAACATCCCAACTTCTGCAAAATACCCATCAGTCCACTCACTAGATGCAGAGTTTAAAGCTCCAGTTCCAGCAAGAAGCGGAATCAAATACGAAGAAACAACCACAACTACAGCCCCAAGAAGCGCCTTTGGAAAAGTCTTACTTGGATTTTCAACCTCCCCTGCAAGTGTACTTGCCTTATCCCAATAATTCAGATTCCAAAACATGCTATTGAAGTATCCTCTCCATTCCACTTTCTTAAAATCTACTACTAGCCACTGCTTAACCCTTATTCTAGGAATCGAGATAATCGCCATTACAACAAATGGGCAAAGGGAGAAAACTGCAAGGGAAACAGCAGAGAACCCGACAATATGCAATCCGCGATAATTCAAGTACGTCAATGAGAATGTTATCCCTAAAAGAGCTGGAATTCGAGCAACCATCCGGTTAAAAATAGGAAACGAATGCTTCAAGTAATCGAGGAACAGGACAGGGTAAAGAGCATTGTCCATAACCCCACTAAACCATTTCCAGAAACCCTCCTGGAAACCCCAGAAAGGCCCAAAGGCTGCTGATATCCAAAGCACATATCCGCCATTTTCCGGGAAGCTTGTGGCGAGCTCAGCCGTCACTAAAGCTTCTGGGATGCTCCAAATCAAAGGAAACACTAAGAAACCAAGCAGAGAAAGAAGAGGGCCGCCACCGGCCCTGACGGAATCCTCCACTCCAAAAGGACCGCCAGAAACCTCATAGAAAATTAAAGCTATGAGAGGCAACAGTGTCAGCTTAGGGCTTGTTTTTGCAGGTGCGTTCTTGGATTCACTGACCATTATTCCCTCTTCAGCCATCCACATATAGCAGAGGGAAATACTTGAACTCACCCAATCTCAAACCATTTTAATTGATTCAACGAGCTGGGTTTTGCCTACAATTTGGATCTGATTACAATTCTACCAAAATCCATGACTACAAACAATCAGATAAAGAAGTTGGATTTGATTTTTCTCAGGAAAAAGTACCTGTATTGAAGGATTTTCCAATCTGGGTTTTGCATGCTTTTCACAGGAGAGGTTTCGGATCCGTAAATCCTCTTCTGTTCTGCTTCTGGGAAATCAACCATGGCAGATTGGAGTCATGATGAAAATATGGGTCCTTGATTTGTACCAAGTCAATGTTTGACTTTGGATGCGTTGCATGCGGTACGAGAGCTGTAGGGAGGGTCCCGGGCTCCAAACGCCATTATCCGGGATTGCGTACAGAATTTGGCAAGGGAGGGAAGATACGGTGCGTGATGGGCAAAATGGTCCCAGCCCTGTGGTGAGTTATGTTGATGTTTTCTTGGGCCTCCTAAAACGCGATCATGTAGCGTTTCATGTTAATAATATAAATATATATATATATATATATTTTATTTGTAGAAATATCACATAACGGTGTATTCGTATAATATAAGTTATTTTAACAAAATAGCATATAATAGAATGTGAATGTGTCAATTTCATTACCACCTCCATCAATTAGCACTACGTTTTAATTTCATCTTCACTTGTGAGTAGAAGTTTTATATTTGATTAATGATGATTTAACATTTGAATTGAGTTCGATATTTGATACAAATTAACTAACCTATGCGGTTTGATTCTTTTACAGCCACTGTTCTAAAAATCTCCGCCTAGGCCTCACCTAGGTGCTAAAAACCACCGCCTACAACCACTATTCTAAAAACCGCCCGAATTAATGCCTAGGTGTTTGAAAATTAAAAAAAGACGCCTAGACTTGTTGAGGTGCCCTTCTAGACTGCTTAGCCTGTCACATCCTGGCCCGAGGTGGATCGCTTCCCAGGCCCAACTCCACCACTGTAGCACGATATTGTCTGCTTTGGGCTTACCATTCCCTCACGGTTTTGTTTTTGAGAACTCACGAGCAACTTCCCAGTGGGTCACCCATCATGGGATTGCTCTAACCCCCTTCTCGCTTAACTTCAGAGTTCCTACGGAACCCGAAGCCAGTGAGCTCCCAAAAGGTCTCGTGCTAGGTAAGGATGGGAATATACATATAAGGATCACTCCCCTGGGTGATGTGGGATGTCACATAGCCCGCTCAGACCCGCCTATGTTGCGACTCACTTAGACAGAAAACAGATAACTTTCATTTTTCATTTTATTTTTTTCAATAAATTGTAAGACACTTGTTGAATACTTAAATGAACACACCTTTTATGCTTGTTCCCCATATTTTCATTATGTTCCAATACTTCTTAATATATATGGCATTCTATTTTGTAGTGTATGATGAAATTATATATATTTCAAGTATAAATAGACACTTATTTACATGAAATATAATAGATTTACTTAAATTCATCTAGACACCTGCCTAGTCAGCCTAGGGCCCAGCCCACTGCCTGACTAGCGCCTAGCGTCTTTTAAAACCTTGTTTACAATATCATAACTTTTATATTCGCGGTCAACAAAATACACAAACATCTTATATTTCAACAATATTGACACACATACGCTATTTTTTTGAAACTTTCATTGTTCAAGATAGAAATACAAATAGCTATACAATTTGAGTTGATTTAGCACTCAAACTAATAATATAGTTGAACAAAAATATTGTTGTCAATTCGCTTAGTCATTTTCTCATAAGTAGCACTACTAAGCGCGTCAGTTAAGTTTTTACACCGATTATATGGGAAAACAAAAAACTTACCATATGGTTTGTGTAAATTCGCAACTCCAATATCGTTGTATTTAGAAGAAAATTAAGGTTGGCAAACAAAAAAGGAACTCATCTAAAAAGAGTTGAAAGAAAAACCCTACAGACAATAAGACCAACCTTATTTCCCGCCAAACATTGCCCCCTTCGATGTCTGTGAAGATGTCGGAGCATCCATTCCATGCCCTGTTATAAAACTTTTGCAGAAGTCTCCAATTCGATTCAAACCCAACTCTCGAATCTCATAGCCCAACCTCACAAGCCATCACCCACCGCCCAAAAAAAGCCTTCTCTCCGCCTCTTCCTCCTCCTCCTACAGAGTGGTGTTCGCAAACTGTTTGATAAAAGTCCTGAAAGAGAGTCTAAAGAGTGAAACCCCATTCAAGTATATTTTTGTTGAAGTATCATTCGGTGGATTGTGTATGGATATTTTTGTTGTAGTATCATTTGGTAAAAATTGAATTAAGACTTCTCATTTACAAGTGAAAAAAGTATCACTAGACCGTAGTACTAAGTGGCTTTTTAACAAGCAGTTTAACTTGTAGCCCTTTAAATCGGAAGTGTTCTTTTATTGTTATTGTCATCATTAGTTGTATAGGTTAAGCGAAGGATGTGGTTTTTTCGGAGAATGCATGCAGTTTGGGTTTGTTTATGGACCAATATCACAGTTAGCCTCCATGATATTTCCATTCCATTTCGGTGTGCTTATACTCTTACGATATAATCACTGTGACCGAACCTAGAGGGGGGTGGGTTTAGCCTCACAATGAACTAGCAATAATGTGGTTCAAATTCGTCTTTGGTAAGAATTGAAACTAAGACCTCTCACTTACAAGAGAAAAAAGGTATCACCAGACCATAGTATTAAGTGACTTTTTAACAAGCTGTTTAACTTGTAGCCCTTTAAATTGGAAGTGTTCTTTTATCGTTATGATCATCATTAGTTGTATAGGTTAAGCGGAAGATGTGGTTTTTTCGGAGAATGCATGCAGTTTGGGTTTGTTTATGGACCAATATCACAGTTAGCCTCCATGATATTTTCATTCCATTTTTTCTGTCAAAACCTACTTAGAATTCCAACACGAAAGCGCATTGTTCTTACATTTGAATCAATTTCTTATATTCAGGTAAAATCTGCTGCTCCTTGGACGAAAGAAGAGCTTGGAAGATCTACTTGGACTTTTCTTCACACTCTTGCTGCTCAGGTAAATGAAACAGTTCGTATTAGTAATTGTTTTGCAATGTTTGACGAAGTATAATTGCCACATTACTTGCAAAAAAAAACTGTTTGGCAGAAAATAACTTTTGTGTAACTGCTTCTTCTGCACTTGTTCACAACGATATATTATGCTTCATGTAATTAAGTTGTTTAATGTGGATTAACTTCGGTAAGACTTTTTCAAAAATTTTAGTACCCAGATAAACCGACTAGGCAACAGAAGAAGGATGTAAAGGAATTGGTATGTTACTCTCTAATCTCTCTCTCTCTCTCTCTCTCTCTCTCTCTCTCCCTCTCAATTAGCTTCTGGCATTCCAGACTGAAGATCTTGTAAAATATATGCACACTCAATCCTTATTTCTTTTGGATGGAGTCTCATCAGAATTCAAAGTAGGATGATGTAGACCGAAAAATGCTTCTCGTTTTGCAATTAAGTTTTTTGGTTTTCATTTGTAATACATGAGCATGTTCTTCTTTCTACGTTGGAATATCACAAGGAGCCTTGAGATAATTATTGTTTACCGGTGAAACTGATATTACACAATGTGCAAAAACTGGAGTAGGTAGTCTGAGCAACACATGTTGGTTGCATTTACTATGCAGATGTCGATATGATCACGAATGTACCCCTGCAAGGAATGTGCAGATCACTTTCAAGAAATTCTGAGGTTCACAATTTCATCTTCATTTTCAACCTTGCTCATCACCTTCGTTTTATCCTATCAAATATCTATGCGAGATTCAAATGCGGCACTCGTACAATCTCCGGTTGCTCCTTTAGTATGCTTTTGAACTTATAGACGTATATTCAAAGCGATATTCGTCGAGCTTGATAACTTTACACGTTCAGATACGAGCGACTTAAGTGTCAAAATTACAAGCTTTGTGTAATGAAGATCATCTGATATCATCTTCTCTTTCAAAAAAGAAAACATAAACAAAGTGAAGATTAACTCTGGGAAGAGTAGTGTGATATGCCCGCCAGATAAAACTCAAGTCAGATTAAGTCCCATGTCTGCTATTAAACCGTACGGAATGGTGGCGCCTCGCCGAATTTCAGAATGTAGGCAGTTTCATATACAGGCCGCAGCTGTGGGATCAGTTGCGCATCTAAATATGCGTCACAGGAGAAACACCAGACAGATAGGTCACTGCACGAAGTGTAAACCAAGACAGAAGAGGAATTTGTAAGAAATGAGACTAAAGAAGTAAAGAAAAAAAGTTGAGGATGCCATGGTAGAAAGGATTGGTAATTGAACCTATAGCTGAGAGCAAGACAATGATTTGACTGCTGGTAATGCTGGAGCATGTGCTTGTTCACAAAGCGGCTGCAGAGGACGTCCTTACAGCACAAACATAACCAGTTCTCATTGGGGTGCTGGCATCTAGTATAATACGAGAATTGATCCGCAGATTAAAGATGTTAGGCATGATTCAGGAATCAGACACTCGGACAATGTAAAGCATAAAGAATCAGCAGAAGCATGCTACAGATCTTTGTCATTCAACAACTTGAAGATTCTATTCAATGAGAAAACTTAAAATGTTCTTTCGTTCGGAGTTCTCTTTTAATCAATGGCACTCAGAATAAACAGGAGCATAAAGAATGATTGCTCTCGAACTAGGCCAAGATTGCTTTCTATTCCTATCACAACTAAGCAACCACGGTTTTGTATGATGTACACAAACTACAGTTGATTTAAACTAGCAGATCGTCGTGCTGTAGATGAGGCACCTCGATCAGCACACTTCCAACAATTAGCTAAGAATAACAATGCAGTTCCCTCAGCCAACCGAAACAATTAGCTAAGAATAACGATGCAATTCCCTCCGCTAACCGAAAAAAAAAAGAATGTAAGATTCCTTGTGGGTAAGAATTTTATAACTTTTATCTTATTATTGCAAATCTTATGACAATCAATAGTAGCATTCATCCATATGTTTCAGAAACAGCATACAAATTGAGAAAGCAAACCCTCAACCTTAAGGAGATAGGTTATGTATATGCTAAGTAAAAATATTCAGCGATCAAAAGCCGAATCAAGAACTGGGTAAGATTGGCACGAATCAAACAACACACAATTAAAAAAGATTTGAATGAATTGACCAAAAAAAGAAGAAGAATTGAATTGAATAGGAACCTGTTGCAGGCAGTATCAGGAGTGGGAATGTGAGCGAGATCAGAGGACAGGGAAGCAAGGTGATCGCAAGATGTTCGGGCCTCGACCCAACCCGATTCAGCTCCATAAAATAAATCTTCCTCGTTTTCTAGAAATTGGTCCTCCTGATTCACATAATTGACAAGAACCCTTTGTTTTAAATTTCAAAATAATCAAGATTTCGGGTTCAG